GCGAAAATATACTAAACGGATTTGGGGATTCTATGATTTGATATGTATCTAAAGAACTAGCGCGAATTGATACTGTCTCTTAGTGGTCTATTCTTTGACGCGGAAATCTAACTGGTCGACATAGGTTAGATCAGCTCCTCTACAACACAGCTCATCATCAGACATTTATTTATGAATAAGAAAGGACGTTGGTCAAGGGCCTGCTTAGGCAACTTATCTTGTCTAAGCTTCCTCAACAGGTTCAGGCAGTGCAGCCCCATTTGAAAATAACTCCGTAGACGAGCTGGCTGCATCTGTCGACCGAGTTCTCGAGACCACTAGAATTTCAAACGCTGAGGTTTTTCAGTAAAAGTAAAACCCCAAACAACACGAAATGACATTAAGGAACTCTGTCGTACTCTGACTCGTCACCTTAGTATTCGTCATGATTGTAGACGCTCCCAAACTCCTCGAAGGAATACCTCACGAAAACGTTATGCCTCTAGATCACGAGAGGCAGATCACCCAGACTGGTGCCGGTATCATAGTCAGTACAGGAAATCTTCTCAAAATTGCACAAAACCCTGCTATTTCGGGAGCCACCAACCAACCGACACGAAAATCTTTTCAGCAAACTTCCGTGGCGGTACGCGTTAACCGTACTCGGCGGACAAAGCTGTCTGTTATACACCATTGATGTGATAATTAAAGTCCGCTACCTCGACGAAACTAGGGCAGATTATCCCCAGTCACAGTAAAACACACGGTAAATTCATACTACCAACGAACACTCGATAAGTATGCCGACTGGCTCCCGAAAAGCTGAGATCGGCTAAAAACAAACCTGATCACATGATAGATTTAGGAATCATTCGGCCGTCAAACAGCCCATGGGCATCTCCGCTGCACATAGTCCCTAAAAAGGACAACAACGACTGCCGTCCAACTGGTGACTATCGTCGACTGAATGCAAAAACCATTCCTGATCGTTACCCGTCACCTCACGTTCACGATTTGACAGCTACCTTGAAAGGTACAACTGTCTTTTCGAAAGCTTATAAAGCTTATAACGAAATCCCTATGGCTACTGACGATATTCCGAAAAACGCCATCATAACTCTCTCCGGACTCCACGAATTTTTGCACATGCCTTCCAAATTGAGAAGTGCTGCCCAAACATTTCAAAGGTTCATAAATGACGCCTTTCGAGTTCTCAACTTCAAACATGAGTATGTTGATGACTGCTTGATTGCAAACTCAGAAAGGGGATTTTACCTCCAGAAGCTGAATCTTTTTTTCGTACGACCGAAAAACCAAGGCATTACAGTCAACACTCAGAAATGTTTAAATCAGAATCCCTAGATTTTCATGAACATACTATTGATGCGCGGACCTCTAGAAGTAAAGTGTGGCCATTCTGGATTGCCCAGAACCGACCACAATTAAGCAACTACGAACATTTAACGGCCTAGTAAGTTTCTGTAGACGGTTCGTACCAAACTGTGCGTCCTTTATGAAACTTCTCACCAACCAACTTCGTGAAAATCCAAAATCCATCAATTAGGAGGATAGCGCACGAAAAGCATCCTTTACAAATAAGGAACTTATCTATCGCTAAAGCAACAATGCTTGCACATCAGGACACTCAAGCACCCACTAATATCACAGTAGACGCATCCAACTCAGCAATTGGAAGAGTTTTACAACAATGGGTTAATAACTCTTGGCAACCTTTGGCATTTTTCTCTAGACGGTTGCTAGACGCTAAATCGAGGTACAGCACATTCGGTAGGGAATTCCTAGCTATGTATTGTGCTGTACGGCTCTTTCAAGGCCGAAAATTTACTTTTCATTGACCATAAACATCTTAACTTCTCGTTAAGCTCATCTTCATCGTGAGTCTCGACAACTGGACTACATTTCGCAGTTTACTTCAGACATTCAACACATTTCTGGAGCAAACAATAAAGTTTCAGACACCTTGTCTCCCATAACTTCCTTGAACAGTTTCCAAGGCATCAAACTTCTTAAACTTGCCCAGCTTCTAAAAGAAGAAACTGATCTTTAGCACGAGTTATCTTCAACAACTCTTAAACTGATTATTAAACAGATGAGAACAGGTAAGGAGACCTTACTAAGAGACACATCTACAGGTAGGGGTCGTCCAATCGTGCCGAAACATAACCGACACAACGTCTTCAATACGTTGCGCAAACTTTCTCGTTCAGGTATCCGTGCCAGAAATCCAAAGTAATTATACACAACAAATGTCCCTTAGGTTAGTTCAGAATCCACGACGCTCACTTTGGCCATTTTAGCTAGATTTAGTAGGACCCTTGCCAGATTCAAGCGGATACTCGTGTCTCTCAACGTGTGTATGCCATTTCACACGATGACCAGAAGCAGTACGCATCAAGGACATTACTGCTGAAGCGCTACTCCGTGCGTTTGTCGAACGGTGGTTGGCAAATTTTGGCTGCCCTTCTACTATCACTACAGACCGTGGACGCCTGTCCACATACGGACTTTTCTACTGTCTGACTACATTATTTAGAATCACATGATTCCGAGCGACCGCCTATCGCTCACAAGCAAACAGGTTGGTAGAACGCCTTCAATGACAGTCGAGACCCTCACTCGCAGCTGACAATTTTCACAGAGGACTGACGCCCTTCCACTTGCGTGTATTCCGACATGCACTTACGATTTTTTTTGTTCCTTTTTCAGGACGGTTGGAGAAGATGGAAAACTGACAAAGAATACGACGAATAGAAGCTTTCATCACACGTTTTTTCGTTGCTATGTTGAGCCACATAGCCTTTTATACTATGTAAAGACGACCAGATGCTACTGAACATAACAGGCTATCAGAACAATGTTTACCAACGACAAAGTCGTCAGGTTTAAACTTCTGACTGGCTACGTCTCAAAGTCGTCACTGCCCCGCTAGGAGGGTAGCGAGCGGCAAATAAATTTGCGAGACAAATAGTTCTATAAATCTTCGGCATTTTATGCTGATCTTATTAGGTGAGGGCGCTCGATCATGCATCCTCACCAGATAACAAACGGGTACGCCGTGCTTAACTTCTCCTACAGCCGCTGACCAGCTTAGGTTATTCACTTCTCGATAAATCGATATTCTATCAAATATATCTCCGAGCCTGTTTGCTCGCGACTTCCGATTTCACAGGGTTGGCACATTTCGATTATAAAAGTGTTACTAGTTAAGGTGTTGTCAAACATCGAATACTTGTGACATCCCTACGCTTAATTATCAACTAAGCAATACAAGCCATTCACACAATCAAATCTAAAGCAGAAATAAGTTCAGGATTATACGTAGTCATTTAAACTATGATTTACCTGTATTCTCTCAGTATTCAAACATTGCCGACCCAATAGTTTAAAACTACTCTCTTTTCTATTATTTCTTCATTATTGATCGCCTCACTTTCTCTTTAGATCATCTTCTACATCTTCCTCAACAGCACCGTTAAAAGATAATCAAACAGAGATGGTCATTTACAACATTTTACGCTTTTTCGATTTCTGTTCATTTTAGAGATCGAAAATAATGCATAAAAATTCAACAAACAAAGTTAACCTTTGGTTTGACTTCGTTCAACCAGGAGCTTCTGGAAGAAACTAAGTAACTTCCTAATCAGTTACAGTTAACGTAGTTGTTGAATCGTGATTATTGAAATGGTGCCAAAAAAATTGTCAGTTTTTGAATGTTAGACTCTACAGTCAATTTGTTCTCGTGAGTGTTAATAACTGGTGTTATGATTTTATTCTGTGGATGAATTTTCGTAGTGTTCGGTAACTCCCTTAAAATAGTTAATTATATGGCTTGAAAAGGCCATATCCGTTTATAATACAACCTTGTATTTTTATTAAAAGTACAACACAGTCTAAATACAATGATCGAAAATTGCAAAAATCTAAAAACTACTTATTTTTATTGACTAAAAGTCTTCATCTGCATAGTATCAAGCAGAAGATTTTGATTAATATTGGTGAAACTATATAGTTCTGTGAATGTTCTTGCACACACGTTCAAACCTTTAAGACTCGGTAACTTTAATAATCCCAACAACATAAGTCACAAAATAGATTTTTGTCTAGTGAATTATTTTCTCTATTGGTAGATTGACCTGAATTTGCGTGTTTCTACTCAAATTAATCAGTCGTTTTCTGATGCTCATCATTTTTCTGACTAACCAAACACAGCAAATTATTTCGACACGAAGTTACTAAAGTTGTGGTGCTCAACCTGTATGTTTCCTCCACGGTTGTATATACAACGCCCCAACACGTCTTTGGGATTCCTTGTTTCAGCTGCATAAGTGTTTGACGCAGATTTCCGTTTTGTACACAGAAAGTAGAGCATTTTATCTGTTTCCCTCTTATTCTCAATATTTATTTCTAAGGACTCGGAAGTTAAAACTAGTAACGTAGGTTGGAGATTATGCTCAACAAGTTAGCGAACCCGTATAATTTAGTCTTCTGTAATAAATATTACACGTTAGCTATACTGTGTTTATTTCTAATGTGACCGTTCCTGTAAAGACTTAGTTTTTTTCTTGAAAGATTTCACTTACAAATCTATACTAGATGTTTTGATAAAGAGTTTCAGTCGTTGACTGGATGGGATAAGCGAAATACTAAAGACAAGCTTCAAAAGAATCTAGATTGTTTAACTTATCGATCCACTAGTGTATTCACTAGACAACTCACGGTATAGTATTGAAGACTCAAAAGGTCGTATAGAGAAGGTAAATCATGTATGTCTCCATAAATTTGTCTAAAACTTGAAAAAAATATCGAGAACAAAACCACTGTGACTTTCTTAATGTTCTACTTTGTCTCGCCGAACGATGACTCATAATATTTTGCCAGTAATTTGTTCAATTGTAACCAAGTTGATAGGGTTTTCTATATTTTTATAGTTTGTAATTGTCATTTTGGATAAAGTCATATGTATTCTATAAACCTTTCATTAATATGTAACGATTTTTCAGCTATAAAAATTGAACATTATTAATACGTTTGTCAAGTCCGTTTCCATCTTCCTACGGTCGTTTACTCCGTAATTTGATATCAGTACTGATTTTCAGAAAACGAATTATTATTATCATCTAAGTCGGGGTTGTCGATATGTAAACTCAACTTGTGCGAGAAGAGTGAAACATCGCAATTTTTACCGTACATCGGTTTGCGTCTAGATCATAACTAGGTTCTTGTTATAAAGAATCGGGTTTAAAATAATGTAAGTTTGTAGATGATAACTTACTTAATAGAGAGACGTAAAAGAAGCAATGGGAATATAAAAATGTAGAGTTAATAGATACATATGATCTTTCTACACTTATCGGTAAATACAGCAAATCAAAATTATCATATAATTTCATTACTATGATAGAGAATGTCCGTAGGTACGGTATGTGCTTTGCATTTTCGAAGTGCAACGTACTTCTACAAGACTGGCAGGATTCTAATCCTTTACTCACCCTGAATGGTGAGCAGGTAGAAGTATTCAAGAAGTTCGTGTATCTAGGTAGTTGCATAAGTGCTGGTGGTGGTGTGAATGATGAGATCAATGAAAGCGAGCGGCTTATGCCAATCTGGACCATTTTGGCGCCTTCCGGATATCAGTCTGGCTGTAAAAGGTCGGATCTACAAAGCGTCGGTGAGAGCAGTTCTGCTCTACGCTTGTGAGACCTGACCTGCCCGAGTTGAGTATGTTAGACGGCTCTCCGTGTTTGAACATCGTTGTCTCCGAAGGATTGCTGACATCCAGTGGCAACAAACTGTTAGTAATGCAGAGGTTCGGCATCGTATGTTCGGGCACAGAGACGATAACTCAACTTGTGTCACCATCTTGAAACATCGACTTCGGGGGCTTGGATATGTTTTACGAATGTCGTCCCAGAAAATCCCTCATTGTGCATTATTTGCGGACGCTGGGACTGGTTGGAAAAAGCGGAGAGGTGGTCAGTGTATGACATGGTGGTGGGGTATGAAAGAAAGCTGCAAGGGGCTGGCTTCTGTTGGTCCTTCACGACTCCCTAGTTGGGGTCCGAGAGATGGTGTAACACAGTGACTAGAGACGTTATCAGATATGGCTCAGAATAGAAGCCTGTGGCGATCGTGCTGTAACCTTCTCTTACTTTCTTCATATAAAGTGGTTGTATCTTACTAAACTGAAAGATTTCTTCTGCTTGCACCTCTCCGTCTCCCCCATTATTATTATTATTATTATTATTATTATTATTATTATTATTATTATTATTATTATTACATTACATTACACTAATCTGGTCGTTATTGTTCTTCTTTTTTTATTTAACGCTCCTTACATTCTTTTTTCTCTTCCCATTCTCATTGTTTTGTGTGGCGCATTTATATTTGGTGCCCTCTTGTACCAATACTTATGTGTTCAAATAAAATGAAATAAAAATTACTATGAACGAAATTTGCGTCTTTCCGAATTCATTGAGATATGGCATTTCGCCTTATTACTTCAGTTCGTAGACACGTTTTCAAGAAATCATTAATGGCCTCGGAAATAATAAATAACAATCATCTTAATATAAGATCTAAATGACTGAGATAATCGTTTAATTTCTCGCGAAGACAGATGAATTGCCAGTGGTTTTGAAAATACACTTTTTTACTCCTACATCCCAGATAAACGCATAATTGGCTAATTTGATTGTTCATGGTTATATGGTCAGGAGTGTATTAATGGTGTTGGCCTATAATAATAATAAAGTATACAAACATTGATACCCAAAACAGATGAAATAGATAAGCAGGAAGCTTCTCAGATTGCAGATATCTTCCTTCATACACATAAAAGTACTCATACTTGTCTATTAAAAGCAGTCCAGATTATTGTATTCTGCTGACGAATTGGTCACGTAACAATAAACTCACTATGAACTCTGTTGTAGCTATTGATTTGGGCAAAAAAGTATCTTAATGTATGTGGTAACAAAAAGTCTAACTCTCTAAAGTTTGAAAACTTCTGCACTACACAGAAAGTAAATGTTCACCCGCCAATTCATGAGCTTCAGTATGGGTTTTGCTGACCATTGTTTGGATGTGAAATCTACAGGAGTCTTCAACATATTTCTTTAACGCTTTTTAAAACCTGAACGAAAATATCCACAAGTTAACAGCGTTCTCACTACAGAACTTAAAGAGATTGGCCAGTAACTACGTTTAGCTGCTTTTTTCGATGTTTTTAAACCAGTCGTAGTGTAAATACTTAGTATATTGTCGGACTAACACAGAATAGATTTTGTCGCCGTGTTCCAAAAATCCGTTAGCTATATAATATTTTGTGCCCTTTCTGAATATCCTACTTCTAAATCAAGCATAAATCGGCAGAATTGTGTGTCGTCTGCTGCCACTCTAGGGCAACTAAGCAAATTATTGACACGATATATTTTAATCAGATATTTCCCCAGTGTTATTATTTTAAAATCTCGAGCTGTCCAGATGCTAGAACAAGGTATCTGAGCTTAACGTGGTAGCCGACACTACATTCTTCATGCAACCCGGTCCTGGGCAATAGTTTCCAGTTCCTAGTCATCTTTTTCATGTCTACTTCCAAGTTCCGACGTAGTATGTTCTTCGGCCCTCCTCTTTTCCGTTTCCATTCGGGATTCCAAGTTAGGGCTTGCCTCGTGGTACAGTTTGGTGATTTCCTCAATTTATATCCTATCCACTTTCAACGTCTCTTCCTAACTTCTTCTTCAGCTGGAAACTCGTTTGTCTCCACCCACAGTAGGCTGTTGCTGATGGTATCCGGTCAATGGATATTGAGTATCTTGTACCTTTTTGATTATGGTTGCAGTAGTTATCCACGTTTCAGCTCAGTACAGTGGGACTGTCTTGACGTTCGTATTGGAGATTCTGACTTTGGTATTAGTTGACAGTTGTTTTAAGTTCCATATGTTTATCAATTGTATGGATGCAGCTCCTGCTTTACCATTCCTTGCCTTTACGTCTGCATCAGATCTTCCTTGTTCATCAATGATGCTTTCCAGGTACGTGGAAGATTCCACCTCTTCCAGAGCTCCGTCAAGAGTGATTGGATTGCTGTTCTCCGTGTTGTATTTGACAATATTGCTTTTTCCTTTGTGTATGCTGAGGCCTACTGATACAGTAGCTGCTGCTACATTGTTTGTCTTGACCTGAATTTGCCCGTGTGTATGAGATTGAAGAGCTAGGTCATTTTCGAAGTCCAGATCGTCCAATTGCGTCCAACATGTCCATTTTATTTCATGCTTCCACTCAGACATCGAAGTCTTCATAATCCAGTCAACCACCGGAAGAAAGAGAAAGCAGGAGAGTAGGCAGCCTTGTCTGACTCCGGTCCTTGCTTGGAACGCGTCTGTCGGCTGTCCTTCATGCACGAATTTTCAGTGTAGTCCGTTGTGGTGTCGAAGAAGTTTCCACAAGGTCCTCCTATCTACACTGTCAAATGCCTTTTCATAATCAATGAAGTTGATGTACATTGAAGAGTTCTACTTAACTGATTGTTCAACGATGATCCGTAGTGTCGCAATCCGGTCTGTTCACGACCGATCCTTACGGAATCCAGCTTGTCGATCTCGAAGTTGTGCGTCTTCTGCGTTTTTCATCCGGTTCAGCAACACTGTTAAAGACTTCTACTGGCATTCGTAGTAGTATGATGCCTTTGTAGTTCTCACATTTGCTCAGATCTCCTTTCTTTGGTATCTTGATGAGATATCCTTCTTTCCAGTTCATCGGCACTTGCTCTTCCTCCTAAACCCTCCTGAATAGAACGTGGAGCATGTTTGCTGTCATTTGTATATCTGACTCTATTGTTCTGACTGGTATATTGTCAGGTCCTACTGCTCTCCCACTCTTGATTTCTCTGATAGTCATCCTGATTAATTTCGACCGTTGGTGGACTGACATCGATAGAAAGATATGTAGGTGCAGCTTCGATATCCGGTGGATTCAATGAAGCTGGTCTATTCAAGAGTTCCTCGAAGTGTCCCATCCATCTGTTCCTCTGTCCTTCAATTTCAGTGATTGGCTTGCCTTCTTTGTCTTTGAACGGTCTCTGTGGTTTGCTATATTTCCCAGACCAAAACATGGCACAAGTCCATGAAGTCACTGACAAGTAGACTGAGTCATATTGGTAGATGTAGAGATGATAGCAACCGATTGTTAGAGACCCTGAATGACATGGCTCAAAATCGTTTGCAATGGCACAGGTGCATCCACTCTTTGTGTTCTCCCAAATTCTAATCTTCTGAATTCTTCATGTCCCTTTCGTTTTTCTCTTTTCAACTTTTTCACTGGATTATACTCCTTGAATAACATCTTCAAACCTTAATTCTTCTGATTGCAGCTTATAACTTTACTACATCTTGCACTACGGAATTTGAATCGACCACTGCATCTCTGTGCTAATGCGGTATGGTATGGCAACTCGAACTGATGTACGTACGTACGAAGTTCTACGTTGTTACTGACTGACTGGCTGATATTTCCCTGTTAGTTTCTTCGTTGTGTCATATAGTTATTTCATATTTCCTTCTCTTGCTGTTTTTTCACTGTCGTTGCTTGGCCTTCCAGGTATTTCTGTTTGCCGGCTCTCGTTCTCCTCTTCACTTGCTCGTTTGCTTCCGTGTATTCAGCTTTTGCCTCCACTTTCTCTGTTGTTGTTAATTGCTGTATTTTTGTTCTTCCTTTCTTGAATTTAGTCCAGGGTTCCGATACAGATCCGTCTCTTATGGTGATGCTTCTTGAGGCCCAGAATTTCTTGACCCGTTGAAGTTGGTGCTTCTTTGATCTCTTTCCAGTTGTCCTCCATTGTAGTTGTTTCTTCTTTCCTTATGGTTATCCTATAACTCTACTTATCTTCTGATGGATTATCTGTTCATCTAATCCTAGTGATTTAACGAAATGATTTATAGAGATTTTTTGGAACCTAGGTTTAGCTACATAACACTGATTACGAATAAAAATTTATATTTATAATCCGTTTATAAATTTAATGGTTTATGTTCAATAATTTAATCAAAAAATGAATTAAGTGATATTTCTAAGCGTTTGTTTTTTGTTTTGTTTTGACTTATAAGGATGTTTGACTATCAAAATGAAGACATAATATCGATCCAGGCCAACTCTCTTGATGTAGCTAAATATCTGAAAAATCATGGCATTTCCGATTCAATCATTGACATTTTCACTAAGAACACAATCGATGGATTGTCATTTTGTCTGTTAACCGAGAAAGATTTATGTGAAATGGACATCAAAGAGGTTGGTGTTAGAAAACGTATCATGTATTTATGTTGCTTCTGGCGTCACCAAATTGAAAATCATAATTATGGACAATATACTTTCCCAAGATTACCAAGTGAGAATTCTGTAGTTGATCTGCTATGCTGCCATAATCCTAAATTGGATAATATGGAACAAGATGTATCCAGGTTAAATGGAAATGATAATGTGGAGTGTATAGCAGACAGTACTTTCTTAAATGATTACGATTACGGAATAGATGAAGACAATACAAATTTCTGGAAATTTATAACCAGTTGTTTGTATTTCATTTTTGCTACATTTGTTACAGCATTTGTTATAGTTTCGGTCCATGAACGTTTACCTGTTACATCGAAATATCCTCCGTTACCAGATATTTTTTTAGATAATCTTCCTCATATCAGTTGGGG